AAGAAGACCCATATTCTGGATAGTTGTTCAACTCCATCTCTGAAGCCTTCCATTAGGTCTCAGAAGAAAGAGTGTGGTGGGTAGGTGAGTTTTGATGAGAGGGGTAAAGAGATGAGCTGCATAGTTTACAGGAGCAGAGAGGAGGGTGGGAAAGACAGACAGGTACAGAACCCTAGGGAGTGTGAGTATTACAGGAAGGACTTAGACATGGCCCTCTTTACAGGGGATTTGAACTTATAGAGAAAATAGACAATTGATAGAGGAATTATAGCTGTATAAATACCAAGGAAACCCCAAATACCAAGTGTAAAAATATTAATAAGTTTTTCATAAAACTGTCAAGAAAGACCTTGGAGAGGAGGTGGTATTTGATCACAACTTTTGAGACTATGAGTTGAAATGCATACCTGGCAGATAAAGGTAAATAAAGCATTTAAAGCCTGAGAGCAATAGAGATATGTGGAGGTGTAAAAACACAAGACGACATCCTGAGAATGGAACCTGGCACACTTAGCTTTTAACTACATTATTGGGATCATAAGTCTGAAAAATAGACTAGATCCAAGGTAATAGACACAACTAAGCTGAACAAGTTGAAGACTGAGGGGTGAGGGTTCCTCCGATCTCATTGTTCTGAGTGCTAGGTTTACAGGCATCTGCTATTCATGCTCAGTTTCTTTTTTCTTTTAAGAATTTAAGCAAATAGTAACCCCAGGATGGATTACCTTCTGGATTTATATGTATAGGTGTCTTACCTGCATGTACATATATATGTTCACTGAGTGCATGTTTGGTGCCTGTGGAGGTCAGAGGAGAGCATCAGATCCCCTAGAACTGGAGTTACATTTGGTTGTAAGTCACCATATGAGTGCTGGAAATCAAGCCAGGGTCCTCTGCAAGAGCAAGTGCTCTTAACCACCGAGCCATCTCTCTAACCCCTTGTCTACTCCTTTATAGAACCTCTGGGTCCATTTGGAAATGGATACTCTTTTTAACTTCTAAGACTTGAGAATTGGAAGTACAGACATAATATAAAAACACATTTCTTTAACTGTTGGAGTCTGTAGAGGCGTAATATAATTTATATTAATGGGATTTTTTTTCAGGACTGAAATTAAGATAGCCTGCTACAGTGTGATGTTTCTGAAGATTTACCATAAAAGTTGTGTGAACTTGGAGGAGCGCATTCTGTACTTGACACAGTATATAATTTCTTATGCCCTACTTTAAGCTTCTAATTAGCAAACTTGAATGCTTGGTTAAACTAAACAGCAGAGTAGGAGAGCAGATTCCTCCAGTATAGGTCATACAAGAAAGGAACAACATGGTTAGAGCAAATTGAATGTCATGAATGAGGTTTCATTCCAACTGGGGGAATTTTCCCTTATTTAGAAGCTTTATCTTTAAGACGAATTTATATAAAAATGGAAAAGTAAATTATAGTGCACAATATATAAAAAGCCAAGCATACATAACTAAGATGAAAAGGTAGCTAATGATGGCTAAAAGAAGAGCTAGAATGCCCTGGGGATAGATAAAGAACCAAAGCAAAAGAGGGTCACTATCATGTGCCCACCACAGGTGCTGTGTGATGGGAGAGGTAGACAGTCAAAACTGCACTGTACAAATAGGCCACCATCTGCCTGGAGAGGTTTTATAGAGAAAATGACATTTGAGCTGGGTTGGTTGTTGTTGTTGTTTTGAGACAGGGTTTATGTGTGTAGCCCTAGTGGTCCTGAAACTCACCATGTAGACCAGACTGGCCTCCAACTCAGATCTGCCTGCCTCTGCCTCCTGAGTGCTGGAATGCCTGACTTGAGCTAGTTATTAAATGGCTATTTAGCAGAAAGAAGAGAGGAAAAGACATCGCTGGGCAGAAAGAAAAGAGTAGACAAAGTCGAAATAGTACAAGGTTATAAATGTGGTTTTAGAATATTGAGCTATACTTGAAGTCAGTCAGCAGGCTCTACTGCCATTGGAGGAACAGAAGCTGAGATTTGGAGATGTTTAAGTTCATCCATGTCAGGCAGTGTGAATCAGCACAGAGTAGGTGCTCTAAAACAAGAATTCCAAGTCTTGTGCCCTAAGTAACTCTATGTCATAGTGATAGACTGCCATAGAGTCATCAGTATTTGGGGTTATTTGACTTTCTTGGAACCAAATTCCACTCCTCAAATTGGCTTCCTGTTTGCTGTGCCAGTCTGTGGCCTCATTGTCATTCCTTGAAAATTTGAATACTGTCTGCTCACTGCCTGATGAAAAGATGCCAGATCTGCCAAAATGAAGAAAAACAGGGTCATATGAAGTCTGAAACTGCAGCAGATAGTTTTTTGTTTTGTTTTTTGAGACAGGGTTTCTTTTGTTGTTGGTGGTGGTTTTTTTGTTTTTGTTTTTGTTTTTCGAGACAGGGTTTCTCTGTATTGTTTTGGAGGCTGTCCTGGAACTCACAGAAATTCGCCTGCCTCTGCCTTCTGAGTGCTGGGATTAAAGGTGTGCGCCACCAACACGCAGCTGAGACAGGGTTTCTATGTGTAACCCTTCCTTTCTCTGCATAGCCCTTGCTATGCTGGAACTCACTCTGTAGACCAGGCTAGCCTCAAACTCAGAAATCTGCCTGCCTCTGCCAAGAACTGGGATTGGATCAAAGGAATGCACCACCACCATCACTAGGCAGCAGATTTTTTTTATAACCTGGTCTTAGAGACGTGGAACAGGCAGAGAACAAAGCAGCCCATGCCCAGGTTTGACAGTGAAGGGATGGAAAGGACCTGGAACTAGCTCTTATAGACCAGGCTGGTCTCGAACTCACAGAGATCTGACTGCCTCTGCCTCCCGAGTTCTGGGATTAAAGTCATGTGCCATCAACGCTCAGCCCGAATTATGCCATTTTTTTTACATTAAAAAGGAAAGAAAAAGAAATCTTGTGGCTGGAAGATATGGCTCAGTGGTGGAACATGAGCTTACAAAGTTCAATTCCCAGCACCCTTACACACACACACACACACACACACACACACACACACACACACACTATAATAAGTGCTTGAACCATGTGAAGTAGGAATGGGTTATGAAGTGTTTAAGGCCTCCCCATTGGTACTTTACTTAAATTTGTATCTTCACAACTTGACTTACTATATTTTAGGGGTCAAAAGCAACAGTAAAAACCTGTGTTGGTTCTCTAGATTACTTTTTAATTTTAATTAATTAATTTTACAGTGCCTGGGGTCAAACTCAGGACCTTGCACATACTAGGCAAATGTTCTGCTGATACATGCAGCCCTTTAATTTTGTTTTAAGCAAATGTCCACTTGTAAGGGCAATCTAAGAATTTCCTTAACATTATTAAGAATTAGAGGCTGGGTGGTGGTGGTGTACTCTTTTAGTCCCAGCACTTAGGAGGCAGAGGCAGGTAGATTTCAGTGGGTTTGAGGCCAGCCTGATCTAAAAAAATAAATAATTAGAAAGGCTAGTAGTTTTTAATATATTGGATTATTTATGAGGAACTAATTCTTAACCAATAAACAGGAATTACAAGAATGGTTGATGTCAGCACTGACAAATTTTAAAGTATATGTCTTTAACTGTATGAGCAGAGAAAAAGGAAGACGTGACTGTGCTGTATTGGTAAGAGATTAGTAGTATTAAGGGCTTGGAAGTTGTCGAGAAGGAAGATATTAGGGAGTTGGAAAGCTGGCTCAGTGGTTGGTTAGGAGCATGGGCTCCTCTTCCAGAGGACCCAGGTTCAATTACTAGCACCCACATGGCAGCCCATAACCGTCCATTCACTCCAGTTCCAGGGCATGGACATCAGGCATGCATGTGGTACACATGCATACATGCAGACAAAAACACCCATACACATAAAGATAAATCTTTTTAACAAGATAAAAAGAGGAGGGAGGGGAAAAGAAAAGAAAGACTTTAGAAAGTACAGAACTAAATTGGAAAAAGAGAAAACTAAAAGTGAGGAGCTGAAGGGATGGCTCGGTAGTTAAGACCATGTTTTGCTCTTGCACGGGACCCAAGTTCAGTTCTTGCACCTTTGCTGGGTAGATCACAACTGCCTGGAATTCCAGAGAATCCAATGCCTCTTCTGGTCTCTAGGTACTGTATGCATATACCTACACATGGATACACAGTATACATGCAATTAAATAAAAATAAATCATAGGGCTGTAAGGGTGGCTTAGTAGCTAAGGACACTTGTCTTGCAGGTTCAGTTTCCAGCACCCTCATTGGTGAACCATCTGTAACTTCAGGCACTAGACACACATTTGGTGCACATATATAACATGCAGTCAAACCCTCATACACATAAAATAAAAATGAGCTTTCAAGAGGTAAAGATGACTTAAGTCTATAGAGAGCTATTTCAAGCTGTGAGCAGGCCAGCTCCATTATGGATCTTAAAATGGAAGCCCAGCCGGGCGTTGGTGGCGCACACCTTTAATCCCAGCACTTGGGAGGCAGAGACAGGCGGATCTCTGTGAGTTCGAGACCAGCCTGGTCTACAGAGTGAGTTCCAGGACAGTCTCCAAAACAATACAGAGAAACCCTGTCTCGAAAAACAAAAACAAAAAAAATGGAAGAAGCCCATACGTAGTTTCTGCTGTAGCTCCTTATTTTACAACTGCTCTGTATTTTCATGTAAACAAATACAGGTATCTTCAAATATAGCAAACCATTAAAAAGAAATTTTTGTATACCCTGTTATTCATGAAACTGCCTGTGGTAAACTGCTCCTGAAGTAGTTCTAACTGATTGAATATATACTAGGAATTCAGGCTAAATATGTACCCTTCTGTTTTCAGGAAGTAATGTATTTTTTTCACAAGAAGGGTAGGTACAGTTAGTCTGGTTGGTGTGTGTGTCTGTCTGTCTATGTGGTCTTTGCATCATATATGGTAGTACCAAACAGTAGAAGCTCTAATGAATAATTCCTGTGTTTGTCAGCTCAATCTCACCTTACTGTTGTCTCTTCTTGTTTCCTTCCCCAGTTATGCTGTTATTGCCTATGGCTGTGCCAGCTGCCCAAAGCTAACCTGTGAGAGGGAAGGCTGCCAGACTGAGTTCTGCTACCACTGCAAGCAGATATGGCATCCAAACCAGACCTGCGATATGGCCCGTCAGCAGAGGGCTCAGACTTTACGAGTTCGGACCAAGCATACTTCAGGTCTCAGCTATGGGCAAGACTCTGGACCAGGTATAAGTTGGCATTATTTCACTGTCTCCTTATTTGGTATCTATAATGTGAGTCTAAAACTAAAAGAGATTGTCTTACTATATACTCGTGTATCTCTGAGATCAGAGAACAGAAAATACTTGGTTCTTCTTCTAAATAGTTGAGACTGCAGGCACATTTCCTGGCTTGGTTACATGTTTAATGCTATGTTGCTTCTTGACAATGATAGGTAATACTAGCTATGTAAAATTGGAATACAACAAAATGGAATTTTCAAGTTGCTGTCTTAGTATTTGTCTCAGCTTGAAGAGCACTTTTTTTTCCCCATGAGGGACAGAGAAACGTTTAATTAGTGTTAAGCCTGACCTGCTTGTCATCTAGCTTGAAGTGCATCACAGCATTTTGAAGTAGGGCACAGATATAAGAAAAGAAAATAAACACTATTTTATGTTAATGATTAACCCTAAAAGGGGAAATGTCACAGTCACTTCCCACTTTGATTATTAAAAGCAATCTTTAAGATGTCAGCATCTTCTAGATGTACTTTGTCTTAACTGATATCATATGGGCAAAATAGGAGGAGACCAATTATGCCTTTTGCTTTTTCCTAGCACAATATAATCTCTGAAATTGTCATTTTAAAAGAATGGCTTGTAAATGCCTGTGAAAATTACCAGGTGCATGCTATATAGATACTCAATTGATTTTTTATTTTTATTTTTGTTTTGTTTTTTGAGACAGGGTTTCTCTGTATAGCCTTGGCTGTCTTGGAACTCACTCTGTAGACCAGGCTAGCTTCAAACTCAGAGATTCACCTGCCTCTGCCTCTTGAGTGCTGGGACTAAAGGCATGCACCACCACCGCCTGACTTGGTTTATGGTATTTAAATTGAAAATGTCGTAGAAAGGGATTGTAAACTGTTAACAGCAAAAGTTAGCTTCCTAAAGAACCATTGTCAACCTAAAGCTGACCAGGCTGCAGAATTTTCTTGCTTTGATGGCCTGATTTTAATCTGTCAGCTACTGACTGGTGGAAATTCTGTTTACCTTAGAACCATCAGTTGTTTAGGGGTGAATCCTTACCCAGCTGTAACTCTAGTGTTGTGTAAGATTCCAATTATTGGAATAGGCAGCTTAACATGAAACCAGATTTATTTTATGAAAAATCCCTGAGTCTGGGGTGCAGCTCACTTGATACAAGCACTAAGCCCTGAGATGGAAGTCATTCATGGTGGCACATGCCTGCAATCCCAGCACTTGGAAGGTAAAGGCAGAGGGATCATAAATTCAAAATCATCCTCAGCAGTTTGAAGCCAGCCTGGATACATGAGACCCTGTCCCCAAAACAAACACACACAGGAGTTCTGGATATAGCCAGCCTTTCAGTAGAGTGTTGTACAATTTGGAATCTTAAGGCAGATCTCCTTTCTGCCTTGTCCTCAATTTTTACATACACTCTTAGAAATAATAAAGTCATGCTAGATTTAACTGGGGGTGTTTTTCTCCCTGTTTTTTATTCCCTACCTAGCAGATGACATCAAGCCATGCCCACGATGTAGTGCTTACATTATCAAGATGAATGATGGAAGCTGTAATCACATGACCTGTGCAGTGTGTGGCTGTGAATTCTGCTGGCTTTGCATGAAAGAGATCTCCGACTTGCATTACCTCAGGTAAGATGGGACATGTATCCATTGCTTTTGTCATCCTATTCACTTGCTCATTTAGGGAAAAGGATACCAAACAGCCATAGCTGATCTCATTTACAGAAAAAGGAAACTGTAGAAAGTTCCTTTAAAGCTTGCCTCTGGTGTTTTCTCCAGAAGCCTGGGTGACTGTTTCCATTACCTTACTTTCTTACCTGCTGCATGACTTTTAAGGCTTTCCACAGTCTGGTTTTAGAGTACCTTCCCAGTCATGCTGTTCAAATCATCTGAGTTTGCTGTTCACTGTGTCTCTTGCCTCCAGGTTTATTCAGTTGCCTTATAGGCCACAGTTACTTTCTGATCACTTCATCCTCCTTTATCTTAGCTTGTTCAGTTCTTGATGAGTTTGTTTGGGTTTACTTTTTTATTAAAGTTGTTTCTTTTGTGCACCATACCACATGTAGAGGTCTGAGGACAACTTGTGGGGGTCAGTTCTTTTCATCCATTCTGTGAATTCCAAGGGTTGAGCTTAAGTCATCAAGCTTGGAAGCAGGAACCTTTACCAACTGAGCTGTCTTGTCGCTCCTTTTCTGAGACAGGGTATCACTATGTAGCTCTGTCCCAGAACTCCCTATGCAGACCAGGACTCACACTCACAGAGCTCTGCCTGCTTCTGCCTCCTGTTTAAGAGTGTGCACTGCACAAAGGTACAGCCTTGGTTTGGTTTTGAAATGGGCTGACTGATTTTGTCTTGAACCTGACATCCCACCGCTTCAAGCTTCCTCAGTAGACATGTGTCAATAGACTTGCTTTGTGAAGTTCTTAGTCATTCTCAAAAAGCAACTTAAATGAATGCAACATCACCCACCAGCCTTCCCATTTCTGCTGCACTCTTCACTGCCATCCCTTTATCTCTGTTTTGCTGTAAGAGCTGCTTTACAACAACACTTTTTGCTGTAAGTATTGCTACTTCTTGGTACTTCATGGGCATATCTAATCTCATTAACTGCGATCTTTTTATATTTACTTCCATGTAGTAAGTTTCTAAAGAATTGAGTGAAGCTGGGCATTGGTGGAGCACGCCTTTAATCCCAGCGCTCAGGAGGCAGAGGCAGGCGATCTCTATGAGTTCGAGGCCAGCCTGGTCTACAGAGCGAGTTCCAGGACAACCTCTAAAACAATACAGAGAAACCCTGTCTGGGGGTGGGGGAATTGAGTGAATATTACATTGTTACCCTACAGGAGCTAACATTTTTGTAGCATGCACTGTGAGATGAGACACCTCATTTCCAGTTTGGTGAAAATCGGAAGGTTTATCTGTAGCAGTCATTGCCTAGAGACACAGGATTGAATAATACATTGTTAGCCTTATCAGGTAGCAGGTAGAGAAGGTAGCACAAAGGGAACGAGATAGAAGAATCAGACACAGAAGGGCTAAGGGCCATACTCAGAGTAACAAACTCATAGGAAGGGCATGATAAGTCGCTAAATCTTTCCCCAAGAACCTGGTTTGTATCCGTTAGATATGGTGGGACATGTACATTGAAACTACAGCCTGTGTTAGGAGCTGCAGGACACAGCACATTGGGTGTGTGTCGAGTGCATAAGCTGTGCAGGGTCTCAAGTAGTGCCTGCCAGTCAGGGTAATGGTATCTGTTGTAAGGAAATGTAGGTAATGTGTCAGGGAAGACACAGCAGAGAAGAAAGAAAAGGAATTTCAATTTCGGAGGTCTACCTTTACCAAAAAACCCACAAAGCCCTTTGTCCTTTGCTCCCCCTTACCTAATAGATATGTTTTCTGTTGCCTCCTGTCACTTAATCAGTGATTCACTGTTATTGAAAGGAAGGGCTGGATGATGATGGCGCACACCTTTAATCCCAGCACTCAGGAGTCAGAACCAGGCGGATCTCTGTGAGTTCAAAGCCAGCCTGGTCTACAGAGTGAGTTCCAGAACAGGCTTCAAAGCTACACAGAGAAACCCTGTCTCAAAAAACAAAAAAAGGAAAAGAAAGAAAAGATGATTGTTGTTCTTATCAAACCCTCTTGTGACAACATCTGGTCTGTGAAACTGACATTAACTTGAACATGCTTCCTCTATAGTCCCTCTGGCTGTACATTCTGGGGCAAGAAGCCATGGAGCCGGAAGAAGAAGATTCTTTGGCAGTTGGGCACATTGATTGGTGCTCCAGTGGGGATCTCTCTCATAGCTGGCATTGCAATTCCTGCCATGGTCATTGGCATTCCTGTTTACGTTGGGAGGAAGGTAAAATATGCCTTTCTATACCTGCTCCAGAGTGGGCTTTGTTGACAGTAGTTTGAAGGAAAAGGGAAGGAGCTTAGGTTTCAGAGCTGTGTGAAAACCAGCTCGTTTGTAGATAAAAATAACTTTAATTTCTTAAATGGATTTTTATAAACCCCCATGAGATCTGAAAGTTCTTATTAACATCCTGGGCCTGGTTTGTCTCAGTGACTTAAGGTGAAATGCTTAGCTTCATTCCCCTGAGCTACTTTGTCTTTTCTTGGATTAGCTTTTCCTGCATTCATTTATATTTTCCAGGTCTGGGTTAGGCTGAAATTTGAGAAAGATCCCTGTTTGGGTGGAGGGTACATTTTAATATAACTTGCAAATGAACATTTGTCCTTTTTCACCCTGGCAAACTACTGATGTCCTAACCTGCTGACCTGGATTCTCTTTTTATTCTTAGATTCACAGCAGATATGAGGGAAGGAAAACCTCCAAACACAAGAGGAATTTGGCCATCACAGGAGGAGTGACTTTATCAGTCATTGCGTCCCCAGTGATTGCTGCTGTCAGTGTTGGTAAGCTAATGGGGCCTACAGCTCCTGTATTAGCTCACTGTAGCACATCAGCCAGCTTCAGGAGCGGTATTGTAGAGACACCTCTTTGTGTGCTCATGTATGTAGTGTTAGGGCAGGGCTGGTGGAAGCCCAAGGACAACTCAGCTGCCATTCTCAGGAGCCATCTACCTAGCTTTTGAGATAAGACAGGGTCTCTTATAGGCCAGGAGCTTGCCAAAATTGGCTAGGCTGGCTGACCAGCAAGCCCCAGGGAGCCACCCCTGGCTGTCTCTCCAGCACCAGACTGTAACTATGCACCACCACTTTTATCTTTTTTCCATGTGATTGAACTTGTGTCTTCATGCTTGCAAATAAGCATTTTACTAACTAAACCATCTCCCCAACCTGGAAATTAAATCTTAATAGACACCGTTACTATGGTGATTTTCACTACACTGCATTATGAGGGTATGTCTTAGACTAGGGCCTAGAGTGTTGCACACAAAAGTGTGCATTAACAAAAATTAAACACCAAATTTTCTTGTTTGTTTGTTTTGTTTTTGTTTTTTTGTGGCAGGGTTTCTCTGTATGTTTTGGAGGCTGTCCTAGAACTCACTCTATAGACCAGGCTGGCCTCAAACTCACAGAGATCCACCTGCCTCTGCCTCCCGAGTGCTGGGATTAAAGGTATGCGCCACCAATGCCTGGCAAACACCAAATTTTTACTTTTTATCCTTTTCTTCCTATTATTTGTTACAGGACTCACAAAACAAAATCACTTTTATTTTCTATTAATGCCTCATATCAGAGGCATGAGAGTTTATTTTAGAAAACTCTGGTCTGGTGGTACACCCCTGCAGTCCTAGCACTCAGGAGTTCAAAGCCAATCTCAGCTACATAGCATGTTCAAGACCAAACTGAACTACATGAGACCCTGTCTCAGAAAAACAAAAGAAAAATTAAAAAAGAAAAAATCATTTTTAGCTAGCATTTCATGAGTTTCATCATTTGTCAGCAGTGGTTCTGAGTGTCTCACATGTGAATCTATTGAACCTTCCTTCACAAGATCCACAAAGACAACATAATTAAAGATAATTAAAGTACAGCCTGTACAAGCAGAGCAAAGTTGAGTCACTGAGAAATGAATCCAGGCAGTCTTTTTCTTTGTTTGTTTTAAGATTTATTTGTTTTTATGTACATTGGTGTTTTGTCTGCATTGTAGCAAGGCTTTGGTGGTGCATGCTTTTAATCCCAGCACTTGGGAGGCAGAAGCATGTGGATCTCTATGAGTCTGAGGCCAGCCTGGTCTACAAAGTGAGTTCCAGGACAGCCAGGGCTGTCAACACAGAGAAACCCTATCTAGGAAAAAGGGGGGGTAGGGGTAGGAGAGACACGTATGTCTGTGTGAAGGTGTCAGATCCCCTAGAACTGGAGTTATAGTTATGAGCTGACATGTAGGTGTTGGAAATTGAACCTGAGCCCTCTGGAAGAGCATCCTGTGCTCTTAACTGCTAGGCCATCTCTCCAGCCCTGAATTCAGGCAGTTTTACCTTGTAGCAGATAACAACTGAGCTACTCTGCCACACACAGCAGTGTGATGGGAGAATTAGTTTGAGGATCCTTAACCTTAACACCTATTATCACTCATTCACTCAGTGTTGTCTGTGTATGTGCCTGGTACCCCTGGAGGACAGACAATGTCATCAGATCCCCTGGAACTGGAATTAGACAATTGTAAACTGCCATGTGGGTGCTGGGAATCTCTGGAAGAACCAGTGCTCTCAACCATTAAGCCATCTCTCCAACCTTCAGTGTTTGATTCTTGACTGGTTCTCAGTTTAGCACTTCAGCAATGAAGGGAGTGGTGAGTGTCAGTGAGAAGGCCTGGGCAACCTATGGGGCCTTGAGCAGTGGATCAGTGTCTATCCCTGGAATACAAACAGTCATCGTGTGCCCATAGCACAAAGAGGGATGCTCTCTCAGCCTGGACTCTTAGGGGAGTGCCTGGACCCTACCCAGAGTGAAATGGCAGACTCTAGATATCCCCTATGTGGAAGGAATTGGCAATAGGGTGGGAGGCTGGGGGGGAAGGGGAGTGCGGGAGGAGGGGAGGGAGAGGGAACTGGGATTGACATGTAAAACAAGCTATTTAAAATTAAAATTAAAAAAAGCAACATAATATCTCACATGTTAGATTTTACGTGTATATTCTCTCTATTCCTGGGAGGGTTCTATGGACTGACAGCCAATGAATTGAAGCCAGGACATCCAGACCTCTGTGACTCCTAAGTCTGCTCTTGTGTTATACCAGGCAGCCTCTTGAGATGCCCACTCTGTTTGTCTTTTCCCTTTATAGAGGTTTGCTTTACCCCAGTCTGGGAGGAAGAATCGGCATTTGGAGCCTACTGACCTGCTGACATGTTTCCATCTCTTTCCCCAGGTATTGGTGTCCCCATTATGCTGGCATACGTTTATGGGGTTGTACCCATTTCTCTCTGTCGCGGAGGTGGCTGTGGAGTTAGCACAGCCAATGGAAAGGGGGTGAAAATTGAGTTTGATGAAGATGATGGTCCAATCACAGGTAAAGGAATTTTGTTCCCATTTGAATTTATGGGACAAAAAGATAAAAGTCAATAGAATTCAGCATGTTTTTACAGAGAGATTATATTAGATTTCTTTAGATAATGAGCTTTGTGGGGGGTAAAGTATTTTTAGCCTTTCATGTCTTGGTTCCAGAGTTATTAGGTTAACTCCTGATAGTTGCCGCTGTGTGGTAGGTATGAGGCAGTAGGACTTGAAACAACTGAGTTTGCTAGTGGTGGTAAGAAAGAAAGCCTTGCATCTGCAGCATGCTGTCGTTTTCCAGGACTTTGCACAGTTTTCATCTTGCTTGCTTTTTACAACTGTGAAGAAGGAGGGCCAGGGCAGTTACCCCATCTCAGTAGGAACTTCTTTCAGCTGGTATTTATTAGCAAGCGCTTCTGCTTCTGCAGACCTGAGATGAGGGCTGGTCTTGTGACTCCTCTGGACACTGTGTCTTCACCTACAGAGATGGCCAGAGGTCTTTGAAGCTTCATAGTAGACGCATACATGAACTAATCGTATTATAAGAGGGCCTGGAAACACTTGCTTACAATTTTAGCACTGGCAGAGGATGTCATGAGTTCAAGTTCAAGACCATTAAGTTCCCAGACCACCTCAGCTATAGAATGAGACTATGTCTCGAAAAAAAAAAAAAAGAAAGAAAAGAAAAGAAACACAGACAGGACTAAGTTAGATAAAAGTAGCTATAATGTAATGGAAATGGTAGTGGGCTTGCAGTTAAAATTTGGTATGACCAGCCGGGGCGTTGGTGGTGCTAGTTCAGGACAGCCTCTAAATTAGTATGGCTTAGGTGATCTTGAATAGTCATTTAAAGTCTTTTTCTTTCGTTCTTTTTTTTTTAATCTTTTTTTTAAAGATTTATTTATTTATTAATACAACATCCTGCTTCCATTTATGTCTGCATGCCAGAAGAGGGAACCAGATTTCATTACAGATGGTTGTAAGCCACCATGTGGTTGCTGGGAATTGAACTCAGGACCTCTGGAAGAGCAGTCAGCGCTGTTAACCTCTGAGCCATCTCTCCAGCCCTCGTTCTTTTTTTTTAAATTGACTTTTCAAGACAGGGTTTCTCTGGCTGTCCTGGAACTTACTCTGTAGACCAGGCTGGCCTCAAACTCGGAGATCCACCTGCCTCTGCCTCCTGAGTACTGGGATTAAAGGCGTGCACCACCACTGGCTGACTACTCTTCTCCTCATCTAAAAATTCTTATTTACTCATCTAAACTAAGGGCTGCTAATCCTTAGTTATTGGAAGGATTAAATACAAATGTCTACTTGTTGTTTGTTAAGTGAATATTGTAATACTTGTCAACATGAAAATCCTCCACTCTCCAGGTGTTGGATAGTCAGGAGGCAGAAGCAGGCAGATCTCTGTGAGTTTCAGGCCAGTCTGGTCTACAGAGTGAGTTCCAGGACAGCTTCCAAAACAATATAGAGAAACCCTGTCTCGAAAAACCCTCCACTCTGTAGAGTCGTTGCAGGAAAAGCCTCCCAGACTGTTCTGATGCTGTGTTTCTCAAGTGGACATGTGTGGTTCTCCCCACAGTGGCAGATGCCTGGCGGGCCCTCAAGAACCCCAGCATTGGGGAGAGCAGCATCGAAGGCCTGACTAGTGTGCTAAGCACCAGTGGGAGCCCTACAGATGGACTCAGTGTTATGCAAGGCCCTTATAGTGAAACAGCCAGCTTTGCTGCCCTTTCCGGGGGCACACTGAGTGGTGGCATTCTCTCCAGCGGCAAGGGAAAATACAGCAGGTAAGGAAACGGGGTCTATAGCAAGCAGTTGGAATTATAAATAAGAAGGCACACATTGAGCCATTTCTCTATACCAGGGAAGTCCCACTTTGATTTAGTCACCAATGACATTTTTTCTTCTACAAAGTTCACAATTCTTTGCATCATAGTGTTGTCCATTTAAAGAATAATGTTGACTTTAGACCTCTCACTGCTTCATTAGACTGCCTGCTCTAGGAAACAGGAAGAGCAGAAGGCTCTTGTAGGCTTGGCATGGTTTTATGCTGTATCACATTGACTCCCTGAAACTGTACTCTTTCTGACCTTCCTGTTCCCACTGGATAGAGTAGGAAAATCAAGTCTATAAATTTGTATTAAGAATAAATAAAGCTGGGTCTGGAGAGATAGCTCAGAGGTTAAGAGCACTGACTGCTCTTCCAGAGGACCCAGGTTCAGCCGGGCGGTGGTGGCGCACGCCTTTAATCCCAGCACTCGGGAGGCAGAAGCAGGCGGATCTCTGTGAGTTCGAGGCCAGGCTGGACTGACAGCCTCCAAAACAATACAGAGAAACCCTGTCTCGTGAAACCAAAAAAAAAAAAAAAAAAAAAAAGAGTACCCAGGTTCAATTCCCAGCACCCACATGGCAGTTCACAACTCTCCCAACTGTCTGTAACTCCAGTTTCAGGGTATCAGACACCTTCACACCAATGTTCATAAAGTTAAATAAATTATTTTTTTAAAAAAGAATACATAAAGCTTTGTCAATAAAATAACTTGCAACTTGATTTACTTGCATTTTGCCATTGAGACCTACCATAATATGTATTTAGAGATGTGTAACTGGCATTAGACAGAAGCAGTTAGTTGAGTTCTGTGGGGGAGCAGTGGCCTTGCGGAGCACAGCAGGGCAGGAGGTAGGGAGGTACTTGTCTCCAGGCACCTGGAGGGCCTCCGGCAGGGAAAAGGATGAGAGGGCTGTGACTCATTTTGGCAGAAAGAACCAAAGTGACTGGCAGCAGCCTCTGCTGGTTTCAGTGCAGTGTAGAGAACACAGGGGAGACTGTGGGAAGCCCCCAGAGAGGGCAGACTGCCTTCCCAGATCCTGAGCCGCTTGTCCTGGAAGTTTAGACTCAGACCAGATGGCCAGTTGGCTGTGAAAAAGATGCAAGCGACAGATGGCAAGTGGACTACATCCTTCACCTTGGTGTCCTTCATTCACCTGGGAACCTCTTAAAATAGATTTTTGGAGCATATTTCCAGAATTAATAACTTAGAATCTCCTGGGGTAGAACCTAAGGGTGGTCTATGTTTAGAAATTTCTCCCCAGATGATTCTAGTGTAGCTACTGGCATGAACCAGCCTCTGGCAGCCAAGAAGTAGGTGGCCTGGTGGGCTTTGAGAAAGGCTGTACCCAGTGAATGATCTGTGGCCATGATGAAGCTGGAACACAGGCCTGAGTGCACTCCCCCTCACATTGCCCTCGTTTTCCTAGGCCGCAGTACATTCTTGAAGGGCATCTAAGGCAGCAGGATGGAGGCTGCTGACCTAGCTGTATCTTGTGACTGGTGTCCCTTGTTAGGGGCTCCTACCCCCACATGCTAGAGTATTCACTACTGTGTTCTCTTAAAGCCGACTCCCCTTGAATGAGCCACAGACATAGTTGGAGCGTGACTTGCTGAGACTGCAGTGCAGCCGGCAGCTGTTGCATCCTGTGAAAGCCTTTCCTTTATGGGAAGTGAATGAGTCAGATGGGCTTGACTGGGAAACCCATTATGAGGAAATACTGAAGTGCAGAACAAAATGGTGTTGAGCCAGAAAGGAAGCAGTTAGGGGCTCCCAGCTTTGAAACACCATTGAGAAAGTGTTGTTGGACTAGGAGGGAGGTTGGTTCCTCTATGCCCTTCATTCTTACATCCTGGAGGTAACTTGATTAGTAAATGTTTGAGTTCTTTCTGCTATGACCAGGGTAGGAAGGGCAAAGTGTGAATGAGGTGTGAGCTCTTCCTTCCTGACACAGAAGTGGAGAGAGGTGTGTGGCACTTAGCTAGAGGTGTCGGTTGCTGGGAAAGAACGAGAGGAAACTGTAATCCTTTGTTGCAACCTAGCATAAGTTTTCCAGGCAGAGGAAGGGGAATTTTTGAGAGAGGGTATAGCATTCACAGAGCCACGGAAGTACAAATGCAAACTTGGAGAGGTTGTGATATCGGACTTGACAGTAAGAAAAAGAATCTGAACAGTTGCAGATCAGGAAGGCCACAGGTGCCTGTTGGCAGGAGAGGATTTTAGGATGGTCAGGTCTTTGCCTGCATTGACATTGCTCTGGAAGATTGCTTGACTGGGACTTAGGTTAGGAGTTTGTGGAGCAGAGCCCAGTGATGATTATTTAGTGAAGAACCTGAAGTTAAACAGTAGCAGTGGGGACAGAAAGGAGGGGACGATTCCAGTTGATGTGTCAGAGAGGAGCTATGCAGGCATGGAGGTGATCCAGCAGGTCACCACAGTTCTCAGGAGAGTAATGGAAGAGATGTACGCCAGGAAGCAGACTCCAGAACACCCAGGTCTCATATTAACTTCAACGTCCCCTCTTTACACAGGTTAGAAGTCCAAGCCGATGTCCAAAAGGAAATTTTCCCCAAAGACACAGCCAGTCTTGGTGCAATTAGTGACAACGCAAGCACTCGTGCTATGGCCGGTTCCATAATCAGTTCCTACAACCCGCAGGACAGGTATGTGAACAGTCAGAGCCCAGGACAGACTTTATCCATTGGACACTAGGTCTTCAACAGTTCACTTCCTCATTGGAGGGCCCCGTGAGTCATCTAGTGGGAGATGTGGTATGCTGGTGAATCCATTGAATACTTTGGTGGTACCAGAGTGTTGAGCATCTCTTGATTCTTGTTAGCACTTAACTCTTAGAGACTCCCTCCCTCCTTCCTTCCCTCCCTGTTTCTCTTTCCACCTCTTCCCTCTTCTTTTTTCTAGCAGTTGTCACAGTGTAATTATTCAAATGGAATTTAAGAGCTGGATTGATGTTGTCTGGTGTCTAAGTCTAGGGCTTCTGTTGCCCTTTGCTGGATCTGGTTCCCATAGTCTCTTTGGCTTTCATTTGGAATGTTGTGCTGACCTGGTGTGGCTGAGGTCCTCCCTACTGCAAGGGAAATGACTTCTGACTGTGGCACAGTCATAGCAAGCTGCCAAGTTACTTTCACATCCACATTTGGAGTAAGATAGAATGAGGCCCTTAGTTGAATTCTGGAAGGTCTTTTTAGATGTTTTAAGGAGAGTTTTTGAGGAATGCATGAGTGTGCATGCATGCATCCATGCGTGTGTTTGTGGGGAAATGGTCCACATTGACCCATCTCTTCTAACAACTTAAGCCAGACCCAGAAACTATTTTATGAACAGCTATGTATGACTCAGCACAATGAATTTTGTCCCCACAGAGAGTGCAACAATATGGAAATCCAAGTGGACATTGAAGCCAAACCAAGTCACTATCAGTTGGTGAGTGGAAGTAGCACAGAGGACTCTCTGCATGTCCATGCGCAGATGGCCGAGAATGAAGAGGAGGGGAATGGTGGTGCTGGCGTTGACGGTGGTGGCAGTGAAGAGGCCCCCCCTTGCAAACACCAAAGCTGTGAACAGAAAGACTGCCTGGCTAGCAAGACTTGGGATATCAGCCTGGCCCAGCCTGAAAGCATCCGCAGTGACCTAGAGAGCTCTGACACACAGTCAGATGACGTGCCAGACATCACTTCCGATGAGTGTGGCTCCCCCCGTTCCCATGCCGCAGCCTGTCCCTCAACCCCCAGAGCCCACAGTGCACCAAGCCCAAGTGCCCACAGGACCCTCGCTGCTCCAGCTGAGGGCCAGACTGTCTCAAAGCCAGAAGAGGACGAAGTGGAGTGAAGGCTGCTGCTCTGAGAAGCACACTTGTTGTAACTGCATCTTTTGGAATCTTTTTTGGGGGAGGGTTGGGGATTTATGTATTTTGATTCAAAGATTCTCTGGTCAGGGTTCCCCCAGGGAAGTTCTGAGAAATTTGCAATTTCTTACCAGATAAAAAATGAAATTTTTGCCTCTAATATCCCTCCCCTTATCCCCTCGTTTTTAGTTTTAATTTATTGGTTAAACTGATGTTGGCAATCTGTGAGGTGTGTCAAAGAATGTACATATGTATGTGTGTATATTGTATGTATGCTAACATATTATTGATGACACATTTTAATAAAGATTTCTGTGGTATTCACCTCATTTCACTGTCCTTGGCTTGGGTAGTTCTGAAGAGCCAAGTGTTTATTGGAAGAGTAGCCTGCCTTTGATAGTTGCTAGACCTGAGGGGTTTTCTTAACCCCAGGGAAAGGGTTCTGCTTCTGTTCCATCCAACTTTGACAGGAAGAAAAGCCAGGCTTGCTTGATACTGTGTAGTCAGGCTGAAGAGTGCCTGGCTGTCTGCTGGAGAGGAGAATGAAATGAACCTTGTTGGCCCTCTAGAGGCAGCTTGCAGTTTTCCTGTTACAGCCTTAGCACACTTTATAATCACTGTTACTCTTTAGGGGTGGCAGTGTCTGTGGAGAGGGCTTGGTGAATGTCACAGGGCTACAAGTTAGGGATCAGAGAGTATTCTTTCTTTTCTTTCCCAACTGGGGCTCAAACTCAGGACCTTGTACACACTGTGCAGGTTCTTCTACCCCAGAGCTACATCCCAGCCCCAGGAGCAGATCCTTGCTGAGGAAGAGATGTGACTACAAGATCACCAGGCATAGCATAGGTGTTGGCCACGCTCTCAGGTACACACTCCCTGCTGCAAAAGCCATGCTCGATTTTGCCAATCTAGCTTAAGGAAGACTAAGAAATCAGGCTTCTAATGAAAGGAAAAAAAGGAGGCATGCCACCAAAATCTCGGAATCTAATTTTACCTGACCTTAGACATTCTATCAGAATTGAGTTGTTAGTGCTAGCAGTTTGAGCACTGTCAAGAATGAGGTCCTTGGGCTGGGTGGAGATGTATTTCAGCAGAAGAATGCTTGCCTAACACGTGCAGGGCCCAGGGTGCAATGCCTAGCACCATAAAGCGATAGTAATGATAATAAATAATGTCTTTAGGAACGAAAGCTTGTACAAAGAGTTGCAGGGAACACAATGAAGAGTTTCAATGCAAGGTTCGAGGTCTGGCAGCGATAGCCTGACTGTTGTGACTCTTTCAGGCAGCCACTCTCTTGTGCCCCCACTTTGCCCAGTCCTTAACCTGTGATTAGGCAGCTTGTCTATCCTCAACCCCAGGCCCAGGGGCAGAGCCGAAAGCATCTTTGTCTGAGGGCCATCTGCCTTCTGTTTCCATTTGCAGGGGCACCTGGGGGCCTGCACAGTAACGGATGAGCCGTCCAGACAGACAGCCGCTGTGGAAGATCGGACCTCAGGCACTGCCACCTGGGAACAGAAATGCTAATGGACTATGCATCTCAGTAAGAAAGTGTCCTAGAGAGTGTCCCTGTGTGACTAAGGGAACCTGTCGGGAAAGGCAGGCAGACTGGAGACCCCTGGGATGCAAATGTTCCACTCAAGATTTGCAGTTTTTCTGACGTTTCATCTAGAAACACTTAACTTGGATAAAGTCAAAGGCAGTCTGTCAGAGTGTGCTATCTAGAGCCAAACCTGTAGTCTTTACCTGAGCTGACCTAATGCTATGGAACTGGGCAGCTTACTCCCCCATGTTTTTCTTAGACTGGTTCTGGGGTCACAGGGTTAAGATGCTATGCTGAAAATGCTCTGGTAAAGGCCCATGTTGATAACAAGGACCAACGTCAAGGAGAGTCTGGGTATCTTCTAAAAAAGGAAACCTGGAGCCAAAGTCTCAGAAAACCAGGGGCTTATTTGAGGCTCCCAAGCTTTAACAGCCAAGAAGGCCCATCATCGCCACCTGGCGGAAGACATGAGCGATGCATGGGGAAAGTGCAGAAACTACCTCCTTCAGCGTTCATTCACTGAACCACCAAAGATGCTGAAGGTGTGGAACGCAGCAAAGAGGAAAGCACACAGTTTGTCCCCATGGAGCTTACACTCTGGTGAAAGAAGCCAGATGCCACCTCAATGAGTGAGGCTAGGTATGCTCCTGGGAGAGAGGCAGACAGAGCTGCTTCTGATGGGCAGTGTATTAGCTTTCCATCACTTCAACAAAATACCTGAGATTCTCACCTTATAAAGAGGAAATACCCATGGGAAGCTGCTTACCTCAGGGCAGCCAGGAATCACAAAGAAATACCACCACCACAGCTAGGGACCAAGCTTTGGACAGACATTCCAAGCCCAAACTACAGTAGGGAGTGTAATCCCCTGGTAGGGTACAATTTTTTAGACCTGAGTGGAGAAATGGCTGCAGGGGAACCATGACTGAAGACAGAACACAACACAGTGTCTGTGACTGCAACGCCATGGGGTAAGGTTGAGTCAGGGAGCAGCGCTGGTTAAAAGACAAGATTGTACAGCGTGTCAGCACAGTTTGGAAGAAAAGTTAGAAGGAGTAGCACTCCAGTGCAATGGGTGTGTGCAGCCATTTTTTACGGGGGCACGAGTCTGGTCCCCTGAGGCTAGATAGAGGCTTTGGGCTTGGTGGATGACACCTGTCCCTAACACGACATCTTGTACTGCAGAGACAAGCAAGCTGGACGCTTCATGCCATGACTTCCTTGAAGCTGGGGCTCTGCATATAACTTACCTTGGCAGAGAGATACCCAAACACAGTATTGACAGAGTGATGGGGAGGCTTTAACTTCTTCAGCTAATGTTCCTGCAAGATCGTCACACCTCAGACTGCTGCTCACTGGCGCTCCAGGGTCAGAGGTAGCTTTTCAGGTGTGGAAGGGCACCCCCAGTCTTAGGTAGCAGTTTGTGATGTTCCTCATCTCCAGGGTGGTGGTGGGTATAGCAGTTCTCACAAGTGTGAGGATAATTGTGGGCCCTCCTGAAGTCTCCAGCCCCCAAAGCTTTCCAACTCTACTTAAAATTGGTAGTTTTGGGTTTTTTCTCCCATAACTGTTACTTTTGTTATCATTCCAGAAGTGGTAACAGGCACAAAGCTTAGCTCTGTCGTGACTAAGTTGTGTTTGAAGGAAATGAAGATGTCGTAGCTTTGGGATATGGTAAACTCCAGGCACCTGACACACAGCCTTTGAGAAGAAAGATGAAGCATCGGCAGTGACAGGCCAGCTCATAAGGAAGGAGGCCGGATGACAGAGTGAGGAAAGGAAGGGCTCTGAGCATGTGCAGTAGAGCCCTGAACCTTTTCCCTTGTAGCCACCACGAGGCTGAAGTACCAGAAATAAAATGGGGTCGGTCACCGCCAGGTCTCCTGTGTGACAGGACATTGCCTAGTGAAAACAATGGGACTGTGAAATGAGAACTGGGGATATTCACTCCGATTTGGATAAATCCTGTCACCCCAGTGTCTCCACATAGTTCCTCACACCAGCAGAAGCAGTGTTCCCCGTTGTCTTGTGTAGAGGCTTTGGAGTTGTCACCTTGAAAGACAATGTCCATCCTTGTGCCCTGCTATGGCCCTCATCACTTCCACAGCCACAGCTGGGGTCAGGGGTTCTCCTCTGGAAGGTGCAGCGGTCGGACCTGAGAGATTGAAGGACGTGACACTGTCAGCAGTTTTCAGCAGAGACCTGGGGAATGTGTGGATTTGATTCCAAAGGTGTCAGGATAAGACAAGAGAAGGAAAATCTTGTTCATTTTGGTTGAATTGACTAGTACGGACAAAGGAAACTGAATCCAGGCTGTTTAGCAAGTTAGTTCATTTTGGTTGAATTGGTTAGTGTGGACAAAGGAAACACTCTGGATCCAGGCTGTTTACCAACTCGGACAACTAAGAACAGCTTTCAGCTTACTGGGTGGATAAAATTTACTCTTTTATTTGCTTTGTTTTTCCAAGACAGGGTTTCTCTGTATAACAGTCCTGGAGCTCACTCTATAGACGAGGCTGTCCTCAAAGTCAGAGATCCACTTGTCTCTGCCTCCCAAGCTCTGGGATTAAAGGCCAGCACCACAACAGCAACACTGGTTTTTTTTTTTCTGAAACACATTTTATAGCCCAGGCTTGCCCCAAGATCACTATGTAGTCAACTTCAAGGATGACCTTGAACTTGTTTTTGTTTCAGCAAGCAGAATTTATATTTTTTATTTTTCAAGACAGGGTTTCTCTATGTAACAGCCCTGGCCATTGCTTTGTAAACCAGGCTGACCTCAAACTCAGATCCGCCTGTCTCTGCCTCCTGAGTGCTGGGATTAAAGGCGTGTGCCACCTTACCCTGGCTGCAAAGGATTTTTTTTTTTTTTTGGTTTTTCGAGACAGGGTTTCTCTGTAGCTTTGGAGGCTGTCCTGGAACTCACTTTGTAGACCAGGTTGGCCTCGAACTCACAGAGATCCGCCTGCCTCTGCCTCCCGAGTGCTGGGATTAAAGGCATGCGCCACCAACACCCGGCAACCCTGGCTGCAAAGGATTTTTAGCAGTGAGAAAACAAAAGTACACAGTGAGAGAGGAACTGAGTTCAGCACCACCTGACCTTAAAGCCATGATCCTCCTGCCTCTGCCTCCCCAGTCAGTCCTGCTGGGATTACAGAGTGGACCACCATGGGAGAACTCTGCCACGCTGGCGGTGGAACCCAGGCCTCCATCATGCCAGGTCAGTACTCTATCAAGAAACCCAAGGCTGGGCCTGAAGCCACTAAGGGACAAAACTGTTGAAACGAAAGCTCTGACATTGGTAGGCATGGTGGGATGCTGAAGTGACAGGAGTCAAGGGTTATTGGGGGGGAGGGGGCGGCACCTGCAAATCCTACCTGGTTTATATAAACAAAACAAAAAACCCAAGATCTAGCAATGAGAGACCTGTCTGGAGCCACCAAAATGGGGAGCTATGGTGCTGAGTCTCTGGAGCCGGCAAGCGCCTGGCCACGTTAGACATGCAGTTTTTCTGCAAAGACCTTAAGCCTGTGCTCCGCGCTCCTGCACTTAGGGAGGTGGAAGCGCTAGGCCTTGAGGGATTACTTGGAGACTGTCCCCAAGCTAGCACAAATCACAAGGGATTTAAAAGCATTTTATGGTCCACTCATTAGAACAGAGTTTTTGGAGGTGTTATAGATTGAACTGTCCCCTAACCACTACTTCAAAATGTGGCCACATTTGGAAGCAGGGTTCTCAAGAGTATAAGTAGGATGTCATTCTGAAGTCGGATGCCCCCCCAATCTAACATGGCTGAGGACTGTCTAAAAGAATTGGGGGCTGGAGATGTGGCTCGGTGACAGACATGTGTGATGTACAGGCCTGGCTTGGTCCCCAGCGGCACACCTAGAGAGGGATGCATGCATAGATGAGAGCGAGTTGGGAGCCTGAGGAAGCAGAAGACTGTAAGACCCTTGATTTCCAGAAGCAAGGATCAAATCCCCTCTTCTAGCCACAGAAGCTTCCAGCACATATCTCAGGTCGACAGCACCCAGACCCAAAACAGCCAACTCCTGCTGTAAAACCACACAACTTAGCACTTTATCAAGAGGGCCAGTTAGAAGGAACTTGGGCCTAGGTCTAGCTCATTTCTATTCTGTGGTCTTCTCCCAACTCCTGTACACTCAAAAGCTACCAACTCACAGAGTGAAAGCTATTATGACTAAAACAGCAAAGGAAACTCCTGAATTGCCTTCCCCTGAACAAATCATAAGCCAAAAGCATTGGGGGGCGGGGTTCTCATGTAACCCAGACTGGCTTCAAACTTCATATATACCTGAGGATGGGCTTGAACTCCTGATCCTCCTGTCTCCTCTTCTGTGCAGGGATTACAGATGTGTGCCACCATGCCTGTTATGCATGTGCTGGGGACTGAACCCAAGACTTCATGCCTTCTAGATCAGTGGTTCTCAACCCTCCTTATGCTTCAGCCTTTAATACAGTTCCTCATGTTGTGATGAGCCCCTCACCATAAAATTATTTTCATTGTTACTTCATAATTTTGTTACTGTTATGAATTGTAAATATCTGATATGCAGGATATCTGACATGCAGCCCCTGTGAAAGTGTCCTTTGACTCACAAAGGGATTGTGACCCACAGGTTGAGAGCTGCTGTGCTGGACAAACACTCTGCCAGCTGAGCTACGTCCCTGGCATTTCAGGACTTGTCACATGGAACTTGTTTCTTTGGCCCATATAGGAGTTGACTACACACAGCTGTTATTGTGCAAATAAGCTCTTTATGAAGCAAACACCTTCCTGTCCTGGAGCCCATAGCCACACAATGGTGTGTGAACACTGAGCTGCAGTTTGAGGCTTCCTCCAGCCTGAGGAACAAAGAACAAGCTGTCAGGCCAACCGTGCGTCCCTCTGTCCTACATTCCTGCATCTATGTTGCCTGGCCTCTTCAGCTCTGCTGAAGCCTAGTCTGCACCCACACATCCAGAAACACCACTCTTCAGGGCTCTGGGCTCACAGGAAGTGGCCAGCATCTAGGGACAAAACAGGTTCTAGAAGACGGGGACAGTATCGGGAAATTAAGGGAATCTCTAAGCCTTTTTTGTGGGTTTTTTTTTTTTAATGCCTGGCACATGGCAAGTACCTGCTCCAAAAATGAAAGATGAGTTCTCTGTCCAAAAATGAAAGATGAGTTCTCTGTCCATCCCCACCACTGAGTGTTTGGTGAGCTCCACACACATCTGGTTATGCTTCGATGATGTTTCATGGGTGCCGGAAACTAAACTCAGGTCCTCCAGAAAAGCAGCCAGTTCGGTTTCATTTTGTTGAGACAGGCCTGTTCTGGAAGTAACTCTGTAGACCAGGCTGGCTTCGAACTCACAGAGATCACCTGCCTCTGCCTTCCTAGTACTGCCTGACTCTCAGCCAGTGAACCATCTCTCCTGCTGTTTCTTTTATCATCAGAATATAGAGTCCAGGAGCCACTGGATAGGAGCATGGTAATGGAATATGTTGGGCCCCAGTAATCCACTCACAAATGTTTGCTTCTTTTTCCTGTGAACATGGTGCTTGTTTTAAACTAATATCTGTTTCTAGGCAAACACTTGAAAATGTTGAACTGGGAATTTGAAGGCTGGTTTAGTCTCCTCTCCCACTGAACTAGTAGCTGAGCTGGAGTGACTGGTCCTGACCACCCAGGAAAATAGTGCCACAGTAGCTGGCCAGTGTGGCAGGGAGAGGTAAGTCTGGGAAGCACAGGTGTGACCCGCACTTTTGCAGTAAGTGCTAAGGGGCTGTGGAGATGACTCAGTGGGTAAAGTGCTTGCATTCAAGCAAGAAGACCAAAGTTCAAATCCTCAACACCCATGTAAAAGCCAAACATGGCTGGGCAGTGGTGGTGCACACCTTTAGTCTCAACGTTCAGGAGGCAGAGGCAAGTAGATATCTGAATTTGAGGCCAGCCTGGTCTACAGAGCGAGTTCCAGGACGGTCAGGGATACACAGAGAAACCCTGTTTTGAAAAACCAGTAACAAATAAATAAAAGCCAAACATAGTGCCGCAGGTCTGTAACCCCATCAAGGGGAAGAGGGAGCCCAGTGGTCAGCCAGTCTAGGCAAATCAATGATCTTAAGGCTCAGCGAAGAAACCCTGTTTGTAAAACTAAGGTAGAGGGCAGCAGTCCAGGAAGACAGGACAGACTTGTGGTCTCTGCATACACGTGTGCATGTGTACACACAAACAGGTACACACATGCAAAGACGTTCTGACAGCTAGGCCATGGAATGGAGAGTGGGATACAGGTCACCTGACTGATGGCGTCATCCAGCTGGGCTGCTGGCTGGGAAAAGGTAGACGCGGTGAGAGGGAGAAGGGAGAGCGTGGATATGAGTGACTGACTCATGCCAAGCCCAGAAACCAGGACTCCGGGGGCTTTCGGTTTCCTTCCTTGCTATGTTGTGTATTTATTTATAGTTATCAACCACCCCCACATTTCCCCTGGCATTGTAAAGTGTGTCACTGTAAGCTGACAACTCAGTCTCTAGGTTACAGGTTGTCAAAATAGAGTTATGCCCAGGCTGGAATGAATATCACTGGAGATTGATGGGATCTAGGTCTTGAATCAGTCAAATACTGGGCCGCTGTGGATATAGTCACAAGGCTTTTAGCGCCCACACAACCACGTCCTTATCGTGGGATTAGACACTTTCCCTGGCTCCTGTGCATCCAGGGTCTGCCTACAAATCGGATCTGCCAACTGCATCGAGTAGATGGGGAGAGGAGGGAGGGAGACAAGGCCGACTCTCAGATGTGTGGCAGCCATGAGCCACTCCGGCTGCATTTCCGTGTTGGCTCATGAGCATTGAGGGCTGTGATGGTTGAGCTCGGAGTTCTAGTGTGCAATCACCTGCTTCCTGGAGGTAGCAGCAGCGGTTGCAGTCAGGGTGGTGTGTGCATGTGTGCACAGGTGTGTGCCCGTTTTCTTTGCTGTTGGTGGGGACTGAATCCAGAGCCCTCTGAACACTAAACTCGTGCTTCACCAATGTACCGCGCGCACCCCAGGTCTAGCCTGCTTGCCGCTGAACTCCCTGACTTCAGCAGTTGGATTTAGATTTTTCTGAAAAGAGTTCAGTGGAAGAACCGGTGTGAAGTTTATGATCCCTCGCCAACCGCCACCAGCTTCAGTTTTCTTGGCTGCAGGGCTTGGCTCTGTAGCTAAGTTTGTCTGGCCCCAGCAGCACCTGCCCACCCCAAGCTAATCACATGCTCGATTCAGGGCTTCAGGGACAAAACACAGGCCCCCTAGCCACATTTTGCAGAATCACTTTCAGGCTATGCCCACAAGATGAGTATGAAACATATTGCAGAGCCCTGAGGGGTCCCACAGGCTGCTGTGAAAAGAGCAGGCTCCGCGCTCAGCTCCCAAATTCCACCACGCGAC